AGGTGAGCCAGGGAATGTTTTGACTTATAATTAAAAGGCTGTGATCTATGCATTAATGATAAACTTGCAATTTTGTCGATATACATGAAGTTCCAAATTTAAAGTCCCAGTATGGAAAAATGATATCTTAAAATCTAGTATGAAAAATTAAGAAATGCACATTTTACATGAACTAGTGTTTTTTTTAGATGGTTAATTGGTGCATTGTTGTTTCATGATTGATTCGTTAACGGTCTCAACACCTCGTAAATGAAATTTTGTGTTGTACTAAATCAGTGATAACTAATATGAAACAGAGGGGGTACATTTTAGTGTCATTTACTCTCTATTTTCTGGGAGTTAAGAACATGCTCCCTCTGTTTTTGTTTACTTTGTGTATTAGGTTTGTCTACTTTCCAAGCTTATAGAAAAAACAAACATTAATATTTACAATATATCGTTAGATTCATCATGGAATATATTTTTATGAATATTTTTTAGTATAAAGTTGGTCAAATATCGTGAAGTTTGACTATGGGCAAGGCAATATAGAAAGTAAGAAGTTTGACTATAGACAAGGCCAACATGAGAAGTAAAAAAATCCTTGTACCGGTTTTCAACTATAAGAGGCAACGCGAGTTGAAGTCAAGTTTACCTAGTTAGTGTAGTTGGGCCCACCAGCCTGGATGTATTATCAGTTAAGATGTATAGTAAATAGCATATACGTTGTACTAAAAATAAATACAAAATCCATTTTGTAGTCTTCAGGTTTGACAATGCTTAGATTTGCAAACGTCATGTGGGGTACAAGTGCCACTAGCATCCCCCACCCCATGAATTTTCTCCCCTTAATTATCTGCTATGTACTATTCCCCTCTGTCGCATAATACTCCGTATAATATTTTTAGGACGGAGGAAGTAGTATATGGCAAATAATAATAATAATATATAAAAGCACAACACTAGATGCTAATCAGCTCAGACAACATTGACCACCTTGATGGATTTGCTTTTCTCTATCTTTCAAAATGCAGTCTGAATCTAAATTACACTTTCCGTATATCTTGCTTTTCTAAGACTAAGTAAACCTTTTATTTATTTATTTATTCACTGAAGTAAACCTTTTATTGATGCCCGGTCTACAACAGACCAAAGTGCGGCGAGCTGAAAACGGAAAAGAATAAGTGATGGGGTCACTGGCTGACGGGGCACACTCAAAACAGGTGTCCCATCCAACAAGGCCGGAGGCCTCGCGGGCTGCATTTCCCTTTCTTCGCTGTCGCAGCATCTCTTTGCGTCTCGCCGCTCAAGCTTACTACGGCGTGTCCCGTCTTTTCCCTTTGTCACGGAATCCTTTTATTTCGTTTGATTTGATATATTAGTATGTTCACGTGGTTTTCGTTCCAAGTTCTCTCTTTCTTTCTTGACTTGTCGTTCCACTCTTTTGAAACGGCACTGCTGCTCTTGGGTGGCTCATATGATTTTCATCTCAAATTAAATAGATAGCTTTCCTGTTCCCCACATGACGATTTCTAACTTTCCGCTGCGAGTACGTATGCAACTATTTTCATAATAAACTAACTCAACTGCCTCAACAGAAGAAAAAAGAAAACACTTTACTTGCCTGCCTCTTTTTCCACGAATGGGAAGACTAACAAGCATGTGCCGCCCTATGGAACCAAGCAAGTGGCATGTTGAGCATGTCTGCGCGCAACCCAGGTCATTCCGATGAAATCCGACAAAGAATGAGCGCATACTGAATCCGACGTCGGCCCGCAAGTTGTCCGAACCTCGTCCGTCTATTCTTCTAGAGTCATAGGAATGTACGCACGTACGTAATGCATCACAGAGTGGACATGAAAATGAAATTTTACTCCTTATCGGTGTCGATTCCCCACTTGGAGTATTGGTTAATGATTTAAGTGGGATATTTAGTAAATTCTATACAAAACAAAGGGTGCCGCTTCTTTTTTGTACACATTTTATATGTCAATCATGTCATGTTCCGCCAAAAAAAAGTGAGGAAAAAGATGCAAAATTATGTGCCATTTGCAATGGAATTGGTCCAAATTTTGCATGATATCATAAGCATGTCGCCCACTAATATATATACTCCCTTGGTCGAGTTGGGAAATCGTAAGCAAGTTACGAAGCCACCGATCCTCGAGTTGCCGATCGCCAGCGCCCTTGGGGTTCAGAAATTCCACGTCGAACTTGACTGCAGGGAGGTGGTGTGTATGCTTAAGGAGAGCAATGCTAGACACAGACAAAGTTTTACAAATGTAATGGACTGTCACACCTGACATCATTTGATTGGGATTCAGGGGAGGAAGCCCCCCCCCCCCTCCGAAATTCGGGGGGACAGGTTAGTTAGCGTGAAAGCCATTGTTTGCCGGCGAGTCTAGGATTATTGTGCTTAAAGACATAAGTAAAAGAACCTCTCTACGGCGGGGCCAATCATGAAAGATACTAAGGGATTGATGCATGCTTGGCATTATTGCAAAATCACCTGGAGGAGACGCGTAGCAAATCGAGTTGTTCATATTTTAGCTAAGCTTGCAATAGGAGATGAAATATGTTACGAATGACGTCATGAGCCATCTAATTGTGTTTTCCATGTAACAGCAGACAAGATCCCAATCTTTTAATACTTAATACTTTTTCCGATCCAAATTAATTTTCATAGCTTTAGTACAACTTTAGTACAGAGTAGAATATTTTTCCTAAAAGAAAGTAAGTGACGTGTTGAGTCTGTCCACCCGTGAGCTAGGCGATTCCAAACAGAACCCAACAAAGGTAACACACATACTAAAAGCGACACTACTCTCTACAATTCGAGCACGTACTATTAGACCATGATGGGTGGGCTGCTGCATCCGTCCGATTTTATATCAAACGATAGGAATATACATAAATATTGCAGACTATTATGGTGTAACACTGAATACCGTTTTGAATCTAAAAAACTGAAGCAAAATATAGTCCGATTTTTGAATTAAACCTAGGTATGTCTTCCTATTTATTTAGACAGAGACACCTTTTATTGCTGCATTTTTTTGTAGCATATGACATCCAAGACATATTTATTTGTATCACTTGAAAGCTATGCTTTTCCTATGTCTCTTTTTTTTTCTTTAGACAAGAGTCACGTTTCATTGATGCCCGGTCTATAATTGACCAAAATCCAGAGGACGAAAAGAAAAGAAAAAAAAGGTATAGATGCTGGGGTCACCAGCTTACCGAGGAGATAAAGGACATCAGCCATCATGGCACAGAGGAAAAAGTTACGTATACGGGAGCTTACAAGGTCAGATCACATCAACTTGGCATCTCAAAAGAAAAATCACATCGACGTGGCAATTTGGGCTTGATCAGCCCCGGTGATTGATTGCAACGACAGCATGACATTCCGTGGAATTGTGGCAACCATTGGTTGATCACTGATTCATGTGGCCGTTGCGGATTAGGTGGGGGCCAGTACCACAAACAAAGCATGCAGCTGCACATGGTGGTACTGTTTGCCGTTCTTCAGCAAGTGGCTTGGCCACTTCTCTCCTGGGAGTTTAGTTGCTGTTTGTCCCAGAAACTCGTTTTGACATCCATTTGCCAGATTTCATAAATGCAGCTTATGCTAACATGATTCCGACGGACTTAAGCATCGCTACGGATGAGAAAATCTCATCGTAGTCAACTCCTTGAACTTGTGAAAAACTCTTCGCCACAAGTCGAGCATCATAGACGGTGACATTACCGTCCACGTCCGTCTTCTTCTTAAAGATCCATTTATCTCAATGGCTTGTCGATCATCGGGCAAGTCCACCAAAGTCCATGCTTTGTTATGATACATGGATCCTATCTCGGATTTCATGGCTTCTAACCATTTGTCGGAATATGGGCCCACCATCGCTTCTCCATAGCTCGTAGGTTCATTGTTGTCTAGCA